CCTCCAGCTTCATCCATGACCCTACAAAGGACATCATCTCATTTTTTATGGCTGCATAATATTCTATGATGTATGTACACCACATTTTCTTTTTCCACTCCACCATTAATGGAAATTTGGCTTGATTCCATGTCTTTGCCATCGTGAATAGTGCCGCAATGAACATTCACATGGAATGTGAAGCTTGGAAGAGCTCCCAGTGTCCTAATCTGGGAAAACTGGAACAAGAAAACAAATACTAATAGTAAGATATTACACACATTAAAAAGTTGTTATTCCTGAGCCCATGGTGATACAAATAATTAATTGAATGGATAAATGAATGAGGAAGAAGGTAAACCTCTCCATGAAAGTAGAGTTCCAATAGAATACAGAAGGAATAGTGGAACTGGAAAATCATAATCATTATTTCAGGCAAGAGTTGCCCACAGAAGCTAAAAGAAACATTTGACTATATGAGGAGAAACAGGAAAAACAGGAAACGTGTGTATTCTCAAAGTAACCACAGAGTATCTACTGCTTGCAAAGGAGAAAACAGTAGCTTCAATGAAGCAGCCCAATGGGTACCATGTTTAACCAAATCATCAAAGTTATCACCAATAATAAGACATATCAACATCATTGGTACGATGCTCTGAGAAGACCTCAACATTACCTTTGTGGTATTCCAGCCAAATATGTGTAACCTCAATCTAATCTGATGGGAAAACACCAGATGAAGACAAATTGGAGGCTATTCTGCAAAATAACTGGTCTGTATCCTTCCAAAAGTTCAAGATCATGAGAGACAAAAACTAAGGACATGGCCCAGATGGAATTACACTGTGGAAGTATGACAGTAAATGCAATGTGGCTCCTGGAAGAACATTAAAACAGAAAAACCATGTTAGCGGGACAATCGGAGAAATTTCAATGTCTGTGGATTAGTTGGCAGTGTGACAACAGTGTTAATTTCCTACTTTCAAAAATTTTCCTGTGGTTATTTGAAACACCAATGTTAGGGGAAGCTGTGCAAAGGGAATACTAGAATTCTCTGTGCCATTTTGTAATTTTTTTTGTAAATCTAAAGTGACTTCAAAATGAAAAACAGTTAAAAATAGTTTTAAAAAGAACACAAATACATATGACAAAATAATGAAAGAAGGAATTAGCGCATTTTAGAAATACTCATAGCGTTTCCAATCAACAGTAACTATTTAAGAAACATTGCTGATATTTTAAGAAAAGAAAAAATGTGAACTAAAGATGTTCTACTAATTTTACTATATATGCCATTTTCTGAAACATAGGTATAATTTAACATATCCTAACTTCATGTATTTCTTACCTTGCCAAAAATATATCTACTTTTTTATCAGTCAAAATTCTAGTCATATTCTGATACTTCTACGCCTGTTTCAAGCTTTGTGTACTTTGTAAAATCTTTCCAACTTTCCCCAACTAATGGGCCATTTGTGTCTTTCATCATGCTGTGTTGCACTCTCGGGACAAAATTATCTTATTCCATTTTAGTATCTTGGGATAGAAGGAAGATGTCAGTTCTTCCAAATGCCAGTCCATCTGTGGGCTTGCAGGTAGAATCCCTCATGCCATCTCTCCTATCCGAGAAATGTTTTGGAGCCCCTTGGTGGGGTTTTTACAGTGGATAGAGAGTAGGACCGTGGACAGCTCCATGCTATCAACCCTGGTTGATATCTACACTACTCATGAACTATCAGCAAATCCCTTACTCAAAGAGGCGTCTTCTTTTTGCAGGTCACATCAAAAACAATGCCCTCAGTTGCTACCACCATCTCTCTCACAAATACAGAGCAGAGCTTTGGCTCACAACTTTCTTTCAGCAGAAACAGTAGCCAAGGTGGCGTTAGGTGAAGACAAAAGGAGTGAACGAGGTATTCTAGAGGCTAAAGTTTAGGAAACGCTATACTAGAATAAACACTTCTAGGTGCTTCATGAGTCTATTTTAGGAAATGGTTTTTCCAGCAGATGCAGTGGCTCATGTCTATAATCTCAGCACCTTGAGGCCAAGGGAGAAGGATCACGTGAAGCCAGGAGTTCAAGATCAGCCTGGGCCCAGTTTCTACAGAAAGAAAAAAAATAGCCAGGCATAATGGTGCATACCTGTAATCCCAGCTACTCAAGAGGCTGAGATGGGAGGATCACTTCAGCCGAGGAGGTTGGGGTTGCAGTAAGCCATGATTGCACCACTGCACTCCAGCCTGAGTGACGGAGTAAGACCCTGACTCAAAATGCAACAACAACAACAAAAAAGAAATGTTTTTCCCTTTGTGTTTATTTTCTACCCACTGATAATATTCTCAAGGGAACCCACAGAAAGAAAACCCCCCTTAGCCAACTGGCAAGTGATAAGGGGTGTTTTTCTTTCAAAGGGCTAGAGGACAGAGAACATTAGCTCTACAAAAACAATCATCAATCCCCAGGCAGCAGTTCATCTTTATATTCCTTTATATTCTTACTTCTTCCACTGACCTTTTTATTGTTTCCATTTGGCCTGTGCTCATTAACATGATTTGGAATTGAAATAAGTAAGGGAAAAGAGAAGAAATGCTTCCTCAGCTAGGAAGATGAAAAATAAGGGGTGTGGGTGCAGGGAAAAACAACCACATTTGCCAAATGGTAATGCATCCTTCTCCAGGGAGGTAGCATCCAGATTTTCATGTCAGATGTACACCATGTTCAAGGGATTACACTCAATACCCCAAACTGCATCCAGCAAGGTCTCTGAAGCATTCACATTGTTGACACTGTTTCCCGATGCGGGCAGGATGCGAACGGTTTTAACAGCATCCCACGCAATTCCTCACTTCTTCCCCAGCAATCAGTCTAATTGTGATAAACACTCTCACACTCTGTGCAGAATGTGTGAATCAAGCACTGTGTTTTATGGCACTGTGGTTCCGTGTTGCTACGTGAAGGCATAAACATTTCCACTCTGGGAGCAAGTGTAGCCAAATTTTACTGCACTGCATTTTTCTGTTTTAATCCTATTCTGAAAGTAGTACCACATCCCCTGGCAATGCTCTCCTCTAAGTTGGCAGCCTACCTGCTTGCCATGGAGAATTAAGATATAAATGGTGCTCACTGCAACCTTGTACTCCTGGGCTAAAGTGATCCTCCCACCTCAGCCTCCCAAATAGCTGGGATTGAAGACACATGCCACCACACCCAACTAAGGTTTTTAATTTTTTGTAGAAATGGGGTCTAGTTATGTTGCCCAGTCTGGTCTTGAACTGCTGGTCTCAAGCAATCCTCCTGCCTTGGCCTCCCAAAGCACTGGGATAACAGGTGTAAGCCACAACACTTGGCCTTCCGGTGGACGTTATACCTTTACACAGGAGACATTGTTTATTCTCCCTGATGCAATTTAATTATCCTCAAAATCTAAAGTTTAGAATGCCGGAAACATCACTGTGCACCCTACACACACTCTCTCTCCTGTTTCCAAAGCATTCTAGGAGTGCTCACTGCAGAGTCCTTCACTTTTGTCATTCCCACCACTTGGGAGGACCCCCCTCATAACATCCCGTAAACAAATATCTTCTTTGCTAAGTAGCTATGACCATCAACCCCTCCCCAAGTGCAGCTAGACATTTCTTGTGCCAGTATTTTCCTTGTCCAATCAATGCAACTTATTAAGGGCATGGGCTGATGTCTATAGCTTTTGTATTCATTGCTCTGGTCGTATGTATGAGATGTGATGCTGGAGTTTTCTGTGACCAACCCCTTCCAGGAAACCACAACAAAATTCCTCTTCCGAGGTAATTTAACCTCTGAATTACTTCTGCCTTAGAAAACTAGAGAAGTCATGAGGAAAGGGAAATTCTTCTACTCCAATCACAAAGTAATCTTTGCCTCTCAAGAGTTAAGGAATATATGAAGAGTTGAAAATACATTTTTATTTCAAATACTTATCTTTTTGTTTCCCTGTTCATTGTTTCATGGGAAGACACCATAAACATACAGGTTAATATCTTGAATTTCCTTCTAGGAGAAGAACTTCATATTTTGAATTGAACCTGTTTTTTACTGAGCAGTTCACAAAGAAAATAGCTATTCTTTGTGCCTCATGCCTGTAATCTCAGTGCTTTGGGAGGCTAAGGTGGGAGGATTGCTTGAAGCCAGGAGTTCGAGACCAGCCTGGGCAACATCACAAGACCCTGTCTCTATAAAAACTGGGAAAATAAAATAATTTTTTAAACAGACAGCTATTTCTTTATCGCCAAACAATTTCCACTTCATATTTCCAAGTGTAGGATACCTATGCCCCTCTCTTGTCTAATTAAGGGCTGTTTCCTCAGAGGATAAAAAACTATTACTTATAAAATAAAATTAATTAAAGGGAAAATATTCAATGAGGAACAAATCATTGAAGTATTAATAAATAATAAAGATAAAATCAAAATAATGTTTAATTAGCCATGTAGTAACATCTGCAGCTCCATTTCTCTTCATTAACATAAAGAATAGTTGTCTATAATTGAGTATGTATTTTCATGTTGCAAATTTACCTACAGAGGCTGGGTGCCATGACTCACACCTGTAATCCTAGCACTTTGGGAGGCTGAGGTGGGAAGATTGCTTGAGCTCAAGAATTCAAAACCAGCCTGGGCAACATATTGAGACCCCATCTCTACAAAAAATTAGCTGGACGTCGTGGTGTGCACCTGCAGTCCCAGCTACTCAGGAAGCTGAGTGGAGAGGATATTTTGAGCCTGGGAGTTCAAGGCTGCAGTGAGTTGTGATCGCACCACTGCACTCCAGCCTGGATGACAGTGAGACCCTGCCAAAAAAGAAAGAAAGAAAGAGAAAAGGGAAGGAGGGAGGGAGGAAGGGAAGGAGGCAGGGAGGGAGGGAGGGAGGAAAATTTACTGATAGAGATGAGTGCCTTAACTTTCAAAATAATGCTTTCAAAACATGTACATGTATTAAATCTTCTAGACTATTAAGTTAGGTGTTGCCATAAATTCATATAGAATTACCTGCATCCCTGCCTCTCTCTGTTCTATGTTTAAATAGCCATCTCCTGCTGTGAATTTTTCCGTCAACCTATTTATTCAGAAAAGTACTTAAAATAGATATAAATAAGAGGGGGAAAGAAAAAGTCAGATTATTGACTGCATTGGTGAAAGAATTGGATGCAATTTTGACAAATGCATTAAAGAAGAAATGGTGCCCTACACTCTGTGCCAAACAACTTCAGAGAATACCAGCGTGACACCACCTGTGACCACAGTCCTCCTCCAGCTGACAGACGCCAGAAAAACTCAGATCTACCTTGTTTGTTCTTTTGAAGTTCAATTCTCCACTGATTCTTTTCTGTATATATTTTTGACAAATAACAGAGATGGAGAAATATTTTGAGAGGGGGAAATGAACAATCAGTGTGCACCTGTAAAGGGAAACCGGCTCAGTTATAATAACAGCAGATGCTGCTCAGCTCTGTTTGTTTTGAGACGGATTCAATTAAAGAAGCAAGACCACAGGGCAATGCACTGTGCATTTTCAGCTTTGGGAAATGATGCCAACGCAATTCATTGTTTTAAACCACGAAGTGACTTTTTATTAAAAATTTAAAATGTAGAGAAATAGGATGCATTGGCTCTGCAGGATCTTGCACAGATTGTAAGTGGATTACAAGACCCCTCAAGTCTATGAGAGTTTTATCAGTAAGTGCACCTCCATGCAAGGCAGAGGGGAAGCCCATGACCAACTAAGAAGGATTGCCTGTCTGTAATTCATCTCTCCACAAGCATTTGTGTTATCCCCTTTGAATCCAATTGTGGTCACATGTGATGGTCATCATACATTATTAAAACAGAAGTCTAGGGCAGGACATGGTGGCTCACGCCTGTAATCCCGGCACTTTGGGAGGCCAAGGTGGTTGAATCACCTAAGTCAGGAGTTCGAGATCAGCCTGGCCAATATGGTGAAACCCCATCTCTACTAAAAATACAAAAAGTTAGTTGGGCATGGTGGCAGGCGCCTGTAGTCCCAGCTATTCAGGAGGCTGAGGCATGAGAATCACTTGAACCCAGGAGACAAAGGTTGAAGTGAACCAAGATTGTACCACTGAACTCTAGCCTAGGTGACAGAGTAAGACTCCATCTCAAAAAAAAAAAAAAAACAAATAACAAAAAACAGAAGTCTCCAAGTCACACACAGGAGCATCACGTACATGATTTTCCTGGTAAAAATAGAAATTCCATTTCCAAGAGGCAACAGGAGTCCAAGGAGCAATGTGATTCAAAGGTTGCTTGGCATAATGGATGATTTTATTATTCATGTATGTATTACTAGTTACACATTGAGGAAGTAAGGGAGGTCTTGACATTTATGAGTTTTACATGCTGCAAATGAAAGACAGTCATAACTGGCCAACACAAAGCTTCAATGCCAGTGATTTCATTAGGAGATAGCTCTTATGATAAAGGAAAAAAAGTCATCAGTTCCATGCCTAAGATTAGAGAGTGAGTGGGTAGAGTCAGCCACAAAAAGTCCAGCTTATTAAACATCCTATAAGACCATCATCCCAATCCCTAGTCATACAAAATAATAATAAAACAAGCAGAGTTTTTAAAATTTGGTAAATAAAAATTATTCCAAAAACTTTCCCTTTCATCTTTGAAAGCCTCAAAATTAAGGGTCAGTAAACTCTATCTGTTGTCTATCCATCTATCAATCTATTATCTTTCAATTTATTGATCTATCTATTCCATCTATCTATTTCATCTATCATCTATCGATGGATCTATCTATTCTATCATCTATCTAGCTATTCCATTTCTCTATCATCTATCTAGTCCATCCAGCTATCTATATATTTATCAACTATCTAGCTATTTTATATCTATCATCTATCTTTTCATCTATCTGTTCCATTTATTGATCTATCATCTAGCTAGCTATTCTATCTATCTACTGTCTATCTATTCCATTTATCTATCTACCTGCCTAGTATCTATCTGTAAAGCCAAATATAGCCCATGGCTTATTTTTAACAAGGCCCACAAGCTAAGAAAAGACTTACATTTCAAATGTTTCGGGGTTTTTTTTAAACAGGGTCTTGCTCTGTCGCCCAGGCTGGAGTGCAGTGGCATGTTCATAGTTTACTGAAACCTCAGCTCCCCTGGCTCAAGCAATCCTCTCACCTCAGCCTCCTGAGTAGCTAGGACTACAGGTGCACTACCATGCCCAGCTAATTTTTTGTACTTTTCTCTTAATAGAGATGGGGTTTTACCATGTTCCCAGGCTGGTCTCAAATTCCTGGGCTGAAGTGATCTAGCTGACTGGATCTCCCAAAGTATTGGGATTACAGGTGTGAGCCACGATGCCTGGCCTGAAATGGTTTTAAAAATCCAAAAGAAGAATAATGTTTCATGCATGTAAAAACTGTGTGAAATTCAACTTCCAGTGTCCCTACATAACATTTTATTAGCACACAACAATGCACATTTTTTTGTTTATAATCTACGGCTATTTTCATGGTACAACATCAAAGTTAAGTAGTTGTGACGAAAACAATGTGTCCCACAAAGCCCAAAAAGTTTACTATCTGACACTTTACAAAAAAGACTACTAGCCACCGAGCTGAAGCATCTACCCTATGATAAATTTATTTCAATTTTTTTTTGCCCATAATCAAAACTTTATTGAAAAACTGACACCAAAATAGGAGTTCACTGTTGTATACCTTATAAAACCAAATATAATTACATTATCTTGGTAGATTAATTAGAATTATGGAACTTATGATAAGGTTTTCTGTGAGATAACACAAATTCAGGAAGCTGTTTGGCTCATTAGTGTTGCTTTCTTCTAAATGAACACCCTTCTGTGAGTCTGGCCTTTCCTCCTGTAGGCTGGCACAGCACTGTTGAACAACCTACACAAAGAACCACTGTCTGAGCATGGCTGAAAGCCGTGGTGATCTTGTAGCAACCTGGACATTTTACATCCATAAAGTAAGAATTTGGACTTTGCACTAGGCGTTTCTTTTTATGTTTTTTCTTTTCCTCTTCCAAGGACGGATGTAATAAATCTCTAGCCAGAGGCATGTTGATCCTCTCGCAAGCCCAGCCCTTCCAGACCTCTCAGCCGACACAGCTAACAAGCTGCACGCGATCTCTATTTCAATGTTTTAAAACATTTTCAACACTGTTTAAAATGTTTTCAAAAATTTTTTGAGGGTGGGTGTGCTGGCTCATGCCTCTAATCCCAGCACTTCGGGAGGCCAAGGCAGGTGGATTGCTTCAACCCAGGAGTTCAAAACCAGCCTGAGCAACATGGTGAGACCTCCATCTCAATTATATATTTTTTAAATGTTGATTAAAATAATAAAAAGTTTAAAAAAACTTTTTTGAACTTTTAAACTTTGAAATAAGTTCAGAAATGTAAAAGTCGCAAAGAATTGCTATACACTTTTTACCTAGATTCACCAATTTTTAATATTTTGCCAGAGTAGTTGCTTTATCTCTCTGATTGTATACACAAACATATGCACATATGGTATACATAGGTGCATATATGTAACTATAGTTATATAATTCACATACATGAGTTTTCTGAACTGTGTGACAGTACACTGTATATATCAAGACGTTTAATACATTAAGAGTTCAATGTTTATTTCCTAAGAACAAGGATACTCTTCTAAACACAGGAAAATTATAGTTAGAAAAAGTACAGTTAAAATGAATAAGTTCTATATTCAATAGTACAGTAGGTACTTTACCAGGGTAAGGACAATGCCAAAGAAAAAATAGTACAGTAGGTAAATTATGATTCAGGGTAATTTATTGCATATTTCGAAATAGCTAAAAGAGAAGAATTGTAATGTTTCCGACACAAAAAGTGGCAAATACTTGAGATGATGAAAACTCCAATTATCCTGATTTGATCATTACACATTGTACACAAAATCCAAACCATCACATGTTCCCTTAAAAATATGTACAACTATTAAAGATCAACAAAAAAAAGAAAATTACCAAATTCAAGAAATTGAATGGTCATAGAATATTTTATCTCTGTACAACCCATATTCTGATTTCATCCATTGCCCAAATCATGTGTTCTGTAGCTTTTTTGTGTTTTTGTTTGTTTCTGGCCACAGGATGCAAGCCACAGCCAAAGACTGCATTTAGTGATCATAGGTCTTTATTCTTCCTTAATCTGGTACAGCACCTTAGCCTCACCTTGACATTCAGAATGTTCACCTTCTTTCAAAACTCCATCCGCTCTATCTTAGAAAACGTTGGGTTTGCAGGTTGCTTCCTTGTGATGAGATTTGGTCATGAAATCTGGGCTGGAAGACACACAAGGTAGGCTGAGTTCTTGCCTAGGTATCATTCACATACGGAGGCACCTGTTGTCCATCCTCTCTACATCAGTTACACAAACTAGTCACTCGGTTAAGGCGTTGTCCCATTTCTCCCTGCATACTTACAAATTTCATTACACAATTAATAGCTTGTGCAAAATACCTTGAGCCTTGGCAACTGTCCTGTTCCTCATCAAACTGCACTCATCCCCAGATTTTAGCATCCCTTGATGAACCTTGCCAGAATCAACTCTGACCATGATAAATGCAAAATAGTGATTTTCACTTCTATGTCATTTTTCTACATTTTTTTCTACAAGGAAGAGTCTTCACATTTACTTATATGTTTGTGTAGGGATTGATCACTGTATGATTAGTATGGACTTGGGGGTTCTTATTGTATTCAATAAGCATAATTGTCCTTAGTTATTCTATTCCTCAACTTGCCCCATATTCAGGTGTTGAAAACCCTTTCAAGGTGACTCATGTGTCCTTTCAATGTCTTGATCATACATTTGAGCAGTTTCTTAATTTTGGGAACAAAAAAGTATCTGAGACTCATCTTGGGCCTTCCCTGCCTCAGTCCTATCTATATAGTCCTATATCTTGTAGATAAAGGCATGATCTATAATATTAGGCATTTCTCTAAGGAGCCATGTTTCCTTTCCATGGGAAATAATAGTTAGAAACCAAGACCTGGACAGCAGGTGAACTCTTCAGTTCTGAGGTGTCATTGCTTCTAGTCTCTAGGAGATGAAACAGATAAAAACTATCAATTGCTTCAAAGTAGCAAAAATGATACCATGCAATTCTAAATAAATTCACTTTAAGTTCATTTTTGAATCGTAGCTGTAAACTGAACTACATCTAACTGATCAATACATGTTTATTAAAGTCAAACTCCAGGTTAGGCACTGTGTTTAGTGCTGTGGGTACAGAAAAAATAAAAATGACTCTTTTCTAAAGACAGAGTCAGCTTGAAAAAAATGTTTTGTACCAGAAATGG